GGGGGGGGGACGTAGGGGAGAGCCGGAGGGAGAGAGAGAGGGGGGAACGATTCAGCAGGCGGGGGGTGGCAGGTGGCGGGAGCCTCCCTCCAAACTGGAGGAGGAGGGTGAGGCTTTCATTGCGTCAGTGCGGTGCGGCGCGTTGTTGTGTGGGCCGCCCGAGTGTATTGTGTAGTCCACTTGCAATGGCTGTCGAAGGGGGGCGGCGAACGTGAGGCCGCTTGGCGGCTTTGTCTTGCCGGCTTGGTGACCGGAGCAGTTGTCGTTGTGGGTTGTCGATTGTGACAGCTATTAGCATTTTTCGACACCAGTAACTTGTTTGACTTCACGATGAAATTCTTCAATTTCCCACTGTTTTGCGGGTGCTGGGGGAGTTTCTTCTTGCGGCCGTGGAGGTGTCGTTGTCGCTGTGGGATGGCAGCAGGGGGTTGAAAGAGCTGCACATTGCGGCATTTTTGAAGGTTGTTTGTTACGTCGATAAACCCCTACTCGGTCTGATGCTGATGAGCCTTGGTGGGAAGAAGCAGTTCGGTTTTGTTGTTATTTGATGAGTCCTGCTCCTGTTACCATGCCATAGTTTGTTTTTAAAGGAAACGCGCCGTTGTCGTGTTAATGTTTGTGATATTGCCTCTGTACGAACCGCCGCCGGCTGCACGAGGGACTTGCCTGCGCCGGTCCCGACAAGCACCGAAGAATGATAATACTGACGCGATGTTGTTGTGTGCAAGTAGCGATAAGCGGGGAATGGTCTCAGAGGGTAGTGTTGGTTAACATCAGCAACCGGCGGAATCCAGCACTGGATCCAGCGGGGCTGAATCAATGTTGAGGGGATATTACCCCGGGTAGTGGGGCAGCAGTAGCGCAGGACCAGCGCCCCATGAGCCACACAACGGCGGGGGGTGGGGTAGGGTGGTGAGCTCGACCCAAAATTAAGTAAAGAGTATTACACATTCACACTGATACGAATTAAGACGAGTAGAAAAAACGCTAAAATGTCGTGACCCAGATGAACATAAATCCTGTAGCGGGTGAAGAAATGAAAGGAGGCAAGTGTGCCAGCTGCGCGCTTTACAAAGGCGTGTGTTAAGAGGAGGAGTAGGAGCAATCCAAGCCCCGTCACAGCCGAGGAGGCCGCGGTTCCCCGCCATGCGGCTTTTGCCACTGGCTGCCTGCGACGAACCCCTTTCGTCTGTTGTTTTGCCGCCTGCACCGTGTCACTCTCCCTAATGCGCGCAACAGCAAAAGCTCTCGCGCCTTCCGCCACCTCTGCATCACCACTGGGGCGACCGACCTGACCAGGGCCGATCCACAACTGCGGCGCGGTGTCGGTCCCCCCCGGAGAGCCCCCCATTCCACCAAGCACCCGCCAAACCACTCTTCTTAAACATTAACCCAGTCAACCAGGCACCCACCCAGTTACACAACGGTCTCGCCATGCAAACCCAGAATGCCGTTTTTGCCTTTTATCTCTATCCACAATACGGTAGTGGTCAATGTCTGCACCGTACTACTATCTGCCGTACATGGGTATCGTGGGGCGCATTGTAACATTACAGCATATTCATCGCAAATGTGGAAAGCAGACGACTTACCATGGTGCGTAACTATCAAGTATGGCAACTTCGTATGTACGAAAAATAACGCTGAGTACATCACCGCGACGAACTGAGCACCAAGCTATGTCGCAGATGAGACCGTTTCTGCAAAATTACAAGAAGATGATACCAACAAAATCGATTGAAAGGGATTGAACGTCCGCAGAGAGCGCAATCGGAAAAAAACGCGCGCAAATTACGCTTACAGCAACATTCTTGGCTGCGACAACCTCGACTTCCTTCGATTCGCTTTCCCTCTTACCATCTCTTCCCGCTTTTTCCCGAAATCAGCAAGGGATGGTACCCATAGCGCCAGCCTCTCACATAGTCGCTTCACTTACGAGAACAGTTGTACACGAGACGCATACGCAAGACCGCGCATTTACAGACCGCATCTGGACTGACGCTCCAACTCACCTTTTCTCCATCTGATTTAAAAGCCAACGCGCATACGCAAAACTGGATCCTTCCGTACAACCAGCCACGCTCCAAGCGCCAAGCGTCGGGCCGCCCTTCCGCCATGCGCAGCAGCTACAACAACAATTGCGCCGGGCCCCCTTCCACAATCCCCACACCTGACCATATCTGTCTGACTGTAACAAGGCCACTCATACGTTGACGTGCTGCATCACGTCCAGCGAGGGCGCAGCAAAGCACCACCAATGCTGCGGTTACGCTCTCCTCTTTCTGCCCCCAAACACCCTAAACGCCAGCTCCCCCTCATCCAACAGCTACACACAACCCGATACCAGCCGCCAGCTGCTACGAGAACAGCGCCTCCTCCAGCAGCGCCACCACGGTCCCCAGCACCCGACCCACCACAGAGGAGCCAGCCGACCACAAACTCAGCCCCACCAACATCATCTGCAGACGGGTGCGGTAGGCCAGAGAGGCGAAGGACCTGAGAGCCGACCCCGGGAGCCCCCCGGTGAGCCGGGGAGGGGTTTATGAGGGGAAAGGGCAGCGGCGGGGCAAGGAGAAGCGAGGGGGGTGAGAGGGGAGAGCGCAGGGGGGGGGAAATCAAGGAACTACTGGGGAGGACTGCGACGTGGCGTCAGTAATCAATTAATTGAAGGTCGGATCGGATCAACGGTGATACGAAACAGAGGGCTGCTCAGGGGCCGGAGACCCTGAACAGGGGACATCACCGGCCACCAGCCACGGCCCCCTTTTGCGCCTCACAGCACAACCCTAAGAAACCAGGTCTACGCTTTTAATAACACGGGGAAAGTACAGAATGCAGAGAGAACCGATACACCCATAAATACGCACATGCACGGCATTATACACACATACATGCACACAAACAGCATGTCGTACCTATGCAAGTAAACCGGACCCTCGTCGTCGTCGCCGCGTCGCCGCCGCCGCCGCCACCATCGCCGCCACGGCGCCACCGGCGGCAGCCCCCGAGCCGCTACCGCCGAATAGATCTGCAGCCGCTCCGTCATCGCAACCCCTAGGGCCGCGGACGCCGCCCTCACCACCGTCACCACCCTCAGCAGGTCCACCAGGTGGCGGCTGACGGTGGAGAGCAGGGAGGTCATGTCGCCCAGGGTGCGGACACCGATGCGCTCCCGCAGCGCCCGCTCCTCTGCACGGTTGCGGGCTCGCTGAGTGAGCAGCAGCGGCAGCACCCGACCGCCCCGCTCGCCCGCCATGTCCGTGGAGATGTCGGCCTGAGAGGGACGGGACGGGACTAACATCCGAACAAATCTGAAACCCAGCCAGCTTGCCCCCCGCCCTACCTCCCCTCTTCCTTCCCCCTCCACACACACACAACAACACACGCAGTCCGGCTCCCATGCCCCCCATGCAGCCACCCCACCCCCCGTGCTCGGGCTCCATGCAGCCACACCCGTTATCACCACCATCACCATCACCACCACCATCACCACCATCACCATCATCACCACCATCACCACGTCGCAAAGTCCATAAAAACGTAACCCCCCACCCCGCCCACATCGCTTCGGCAGCACACCCGGCAGCAGCACCTGCACTACCCCGCGCTATCTCACCAAATCAACTCCGTCCCCGTACCTGCGTGGCCTCGTCGTGCATCACCGCGGCACACCACAACTGACAAAACTGCTGACGGAGCTCCGGAGCCACCTGGGGGGTTGAGGGGGCGGGGGTTCATAATAATAACAATAACAATAAGAACAACCTGATGAGAGGGCTATGGGGGGGCACATCATGATGAGGATGGGGAGACGGGACTGAAAAACGCGAGGTGGGAAGTCCTGGCATCCAGGAATGTGGGGTTGGGTTGGGTTTAAGGGTTACGCATGCCCTTGGGGCCCAGTGACGGGTGTTACGATATCAAAGGTGTGTGTGTGTGTAAAAGTCAAAGAGAAGAATATCATCCTTCGTGCCCAGCATGCGTCCAAAGCACACCGCCAACTGGCTGCTGGAGTCCCAAGATATGTTGCAACTGGCCATCTTGGCGGAGGAGGGGGAGGGGGGGAAGGGAGAGGAGAGGAGAGTGGAACGAGGAACGTGATGCGAACTGCCACATCCCCTTCCAGCCCCCAGCGAGGCAGGCAGCTTCCTTAGCCTTAGCCTTAGCCTTAGCCCCGCCGTCCCCCCTGCTGCCGTGTCGACTTGTGTGTGTGTGTATATGTGCATATATATACACATATTTGTGTGTGTTAGAGAGAGAGATGCTGTGTGTATGCTCCGGTCCGCTAAGGAAACCCATCTCCTCCGCGGCACGACGGGTTTCCCGTCGCCAATCATCCCCCCACCTGCCCCCCCCTCCCCCCTCCCCCCAACCCACCTCGAGGTACGTCCCGTGGTCCAGCACCACGATCTCGAAGTCCCGACGAGTCCCCCGGAACAGCCACCTCAGGAAGTTGGGTCGACCTGACGAGACGGTTGGGTAGGGTGATGGGGTGGGTTGGGTGATGGGGTGGGTTGGGTGATGGGGTGGGTAGGGTGATGGGGTGGGTTGGCTGATGGGGTGGGTTGGGTGATGGGGTGGGTAGGGTGATGGGGTGGGTAGGGTGATGGGGTGGGTAGGGTGATGGGGTGGCGGTAGGTAGTTGCCATCACAACCGGGGGGAGAGGGCTTGTACGGGACATGGGGGCAGGGCGGGGCTGGGGCGGGGGGAAGGTGGAGGGAAAGAGGGACGCCCCTGCCCCCCCTGCCCCGGCCATGCATTGTGGGGTGGGGTGGGGTGCAGAGGTGGGTGGACGCGGGTGGGGGTGAGTGTGTGGGGGTGAGGGTGGGGGTGAGGGTGGGCCCCGCTGGAGGCTGCTTACTACATCACGAAAGAGTGCACCCCACACTAACCGTACATATACTTCCCCAGCCAATCAAATCCGACGTGTGTACGGCCATACCTTTAGGTCGTACCATAAGGTTGCCCGGGTGTGGGTCACCTGCGGGCCACAGATATAAGGAGGGGAGGTGGGTTGGGAGCGGGAGGGGGTGGCGGAAACCAGGAGAGGAGGGTGGAAGGGGCGGGAGCACAATGGTGCCGTCAATGCCCATATGCTTCATATTCTTACCCATTTTACCAGTTCATATCATGGTTTAGATTCGTACTTTCACCCCCCCCCTGGCGCCCTACGCTGACTTAACCGCCAATTGTCGCCCTCGCTGCCGCTCCCTCCCCCGGAGCTGCTCAGCTCGCTCGTGGTTCGTCCTCCCCCCCCCCGAACTGCTCAGCTGCCATCCGATGGGATGAGCCCGTGTGGACATTCACCACCAGCACCAGCACCACCACGTCCACACTACCACCTAGCCTCATCATGCCACGCCAGCATGGAAGATATCCGTACATCCACACCGGCTTCCAAATCGCCGCACACAGTTTCTGATCTCGTACTGCAACCAACTCATCGCATCATCGCATCGCACACCCGCCAAACAGCACTACCGTACTACACCGTACAACACGTGCCGTACCATGTACATATCCGTGTATGAACATGAGCTCCCCAAAAAGCTTGACCAGCTGCCGACCCACCAGACGGGGGTTGATCCCCTGACAGGGTGGTGGTGGCGGGTGGTGGTAGTGGTTGGGGGTTGGAGGAGAAGGACGCAAGAGGAAGGTAACAGGGGGGTGCGGAGTTTAGGAAACGACAACGGGAGTGAAGAGTGTGTGTGTGTGTAGGGGGGGGGAATATTGGGGGATTGCGCCGAGAGGGGTATATCTCTAGCTCACTCTCACACCCACTCACTCACTCACTCACTCACTCACTCTATCCATACGTCGCGGGACATACACACACAGCGCTAAGTATACCCATTCTCTTCCGTCCCCTACTCCAAAACACACACGCTCTCTCTCACACACACACACACACACACTCACACACACACACACACTCACTCACTCACTCACACACACACACACACTCACTCACATACACACACACTCACACACTCACTCACATACACACTCACTCACATACACACACACTCACACACTCACTCACATACACACTCACTCACATACACACACACTCACACACTCACTCACATACACACTCACTCACATACACACACACTCACACACTCACTCACATACACACACACACATACACACACAGTGCCCCCAGTACCCCCAATCCGCTGACCCACCCACCTGTCTCTGCAGCGCCTCCACGTCCGTGATCTTGGCCCCCTCGATCCACTCCATGATGAGCACCTTGCTGCTGCACAGCCCCTCGTGGAGCTCCGGAACCACCACACGACCCCCCTCGCCCGCATCCCGCAGCACGGACTGGAACCGCCGACTGTTGCGAATCTCATTCCTGAACGGGAAGGAAAGGCGGACGGACGGACAGACGAATACGCGGCGACCAGAACCGGGTCTTGCACCAGGTAGCTGGAGGGTGTGAGGCGGCAGGGGTAGCAGGGGACGGGGAAGGTGGTGGTGGCCTGGCGTATGTCCGCTTCCCGAGCCCGCGGGGAAGTCCGGCGTGAAACAGGATGGGCGCAGTGGATCAGGTTGTGTGCGCACGTATGTATGTATGTATGTATGTATGTATGTATGTATGTATGTATGTATGTATGTATGTATGTATGTATGTATGTGTGTGTGTGGGGGGGGTGCAGTGATGATAGGATCGAAAGATACCCTGCACCGCAGATTCAGCAGCACGTGGACGAGCAGGTGCGAGGGCGGAGATGGAGAGGCGTGTGGTTACCAGTAGCGGTGAGTCAGCGTGAGCGGGCCCCTCCCCGGCCCCCTCGCCGCCCCACTGCCCGCCGCACACGTCAGCCACTGAGCTCCCACACATCGCACCTCTCTTGCCGCTACTACCTCACAACAGCAGTACCCAGCAGCGGGGCCCCATTCGATGCACACCCCCCTCCTCTCAACCCCNCTCCTCTCAACCCCCTC